ATATATACATCACTTTAGCCTGTACTACAGATTTAATTTCACACTTTTACAAAAAAAAATTACATTACAACTCTATTTTTACACACATACTATTGCTACTAAATAATACAATAGACAATTTAAAACAAAAATCGTATTTTCTCACGATTATTTTCTCAAATACCGTTGTATTATAAAATATATGTTAAATTTGTGAATTATTTACAGAAAGAACAGGCTTCAGTGAGCGTGTCGAATATATCCGACGATCCATCACTGGTTTTGAAACGTTGGAGAGGCCCGAAGGCTCACAATAATAGATACGAGGCGTGGGAGAAGGAAAATCAAGGTGGTATTCTGAACAAGCAGGACGACAAGTGGGAGTTTCCCAGACATAGATTGAAGGTAGATAACTGATAATTTATCTATCTAACATTAGTTCTTGTTTAACACCGTTCATCAATTGTCTTTAACATAAGGCACCATTTTATTTCTTTGATTAAGCAAACATTTCCAAGGTTCTTTCAGGATTTAAATTACTTTCTATTATAATTTCATCATATGATTTTCATAAAATAAAATGTCAAAAAAAATATTTTGTACGTTTCATTTATTATTAATAAGAATTTTAACATATTCAAATAAAAAAATACAAAATTACAGTTCTCAAAGTAGCAAGCTGAGTTCATTAATCAATTCAACAAAGTTGATAATTGAATGAATCTTCTAATTAGGTTTTCAATATCCTTGGAGAAGGATGTTTCGGTCAAGTTTGGAAATGTGAAGCTTTGGACATCGATGGTAAAGCTGGTGCCACTGTTGTTGCAGTAAAAACATTAAAAGAAAATGCAACTGAAAGAGAACGATTAGATTTAGCACAAGAATTAAGAGTAATGAAGAGTTTGGAACCTCATCCTAATGTTGTCAGATTACTTGGATGTTGTACAGAAAGAGAACCCATGTTTGTTATTCTGGAATACGTTAGTGGTGGAAAATTACAAAGTTTTCTACGAGCATCGAGGGAAGAAAGGAATCATGGAAGACCTGGCCTAACTTCGAGAGATCTTACTGGATTCGTTTATCAAGTAAATTATTATGATTACTTTAAAAATTGAATATTGTTACATTTTGTTGAGCAGATTTTATTGAATTATTTTCTTCATCTGTTTATTAAATATTTTTATTACTTATTGAAGCCTTTGTCAAGGCTTTTGCGACATAAGAATAAAACGATTATATTTTAAATATCAATTATTTATTATTTTATTGTTCTTTTTATTTAGATCGCTAAAGGAATGGAACACTTGACATCGAAAGGTATAATTCACAGAGATTTAGCTGCTCGTAATGTTTTAATAGACGAGAATCGTGCTTGCAAAGTTGCCGATTTTGGTTTCGCAAGAGACATGGCTGCCAATGAGATTTATGAAAGAAAATCGGAAGGAAGATTACCGATAAGATGGATGGCTCCTGAAAGCTTGTACGATAATATATTTTCCGTTAAATCAGATATATGGAGCTTCGGTGTTCTCATATGGGAAATTGTAACGTTAGGGTCTACACCATATCCTGGTTTAGCAGCAGCTGAGGTAATACTTTTTTTTAGTTACTGTAATAGTTTTATTAAATCCGTGTTTCATCTATTATTAATATTCTTAGGTTATGAGGAGAATCAAAGAAGGATACAGATTGGATAGACCCGAACACTGCAAACGTGAACTGTATAATATTATGTATTATTGTTGGGACAAGGATCCAGCATGTAGGCCATCCTTTACTGAACTTGTTAGTTTGGCAGAAGGACTATTACTTGATGAAACCGATTACATTGAATTAGACAGGTTTCCTGATCATTCTTATTACAATGTGCTTAATCTCAGTGGTGAAAAACTTTAAATGAAATCAAATGATTATTAACTTTAAAAAAATGATTATTTTTTCCCATTTCTTTTTTCATTTTTCTACGTAGTGTCAATTTATTAATATTATTTTTTTTATTCTTTTATAATATTCGTACGAATGTAAATATCTCAGGATTTTACTTTTACGTACATCTAACGTTATATTCATTTTTATTCAATTTGTTTTTTCATAGTTTTTGGATCCGATTATTAAAAATAATTTGTAAAAATGTAATTGTTGATTTTATATTTAACATTCGAATATTATCGCATTGTTTATCTACATGTTCGAACGGATTTGACAAATCCTATTTGCTAATTGTGATAAAAAAAAATTATAATTGAAATTTATTCTAAAATTTCTACGTACGATCAATTTGTATAACTTAAGCGGTGTGTATATATGTATGTATTAAATTAATTCTTATAACTTATTGTACAATTATCTTCTCTTTTTTTTTTATATAAATAATTAATAATTATTGTTATATTGTGTTCTTTTTTTTTTTTTAATTCTAATTATATTCCTGTATTCTCGTGTGCGTGTGTGTATATTATTAGACTTTGTTCAGAAATAAAAATTATGGGAATTTTGTACAAAATGTTGACATCATCTTTCTACAAAATATTTATTTAATTAATATTTTATTAAATAATATATATATTTAAATACTAGATAATTTGATGCACATAACTTATATTTTTATAAGATCAATCATGATTTCATCGATAAGGTAGAGTTCTACTACGATCAACTCTATATCCTGATAACAAAAAATGATGATTCAATTGTAATATGATGAAGTAAATATAATTAAATTATTTTATTATTGATATTGAAAATTTTTAAGGTCTAACTAGGTCTAAAATATTTATTAAAACCAAAAGAAAAGAGTTATTTTATATTTATGTGTCAATAAATGCTACCTACTATAGATAACATATTTGTAGTTCACTGTTTTATCGTTAAATGGCACATAATATATAACACTTTATGTATCTACAAATGCTAAGGGATAGATTATTACAAAATATTATTAAAATCAAATAGATTTCATAGAAAAATAAAATGAATGATAAATAATTTGAACCTTAAGCAATTTTTTAAATACAACAAAATATTTTCGATAATAATAGAAACTAAGAGAAGAAGTTCTATCATCATCCACATTTTCAAGTCTTTTTTTTATCTTAAACATAAGGAAAAAAAAATTGCGCGATGTTTAGAGTTATTTGTAAAAGAAAAAAAGCACAATAACAAAAAGTATTCGAATGAATCAGTATGCAGCAAAGAGAAGTAAAAAGAAACAGAACATCTTTCAGTGACTCCAAGATCTATTTCAAAGTACGAATATAAATTTCAGAGAGAGAGAGAGAGAGAGCGTGTTCGTTCGCCCGTAGCCAATAAGAAATCCACCCTCTCATCATTCTTTCCCGCTGTCATCGTGTATACGAGCCTCGAAGCTATATCGTCTTCATTATCGTCATCGTCATCGTCATAGTCATCGTCATCGTGCTCTCGTTGCTTTCCCAAGACTTAACGCGTTCATTCTCGTGAACAATAAAACGATATATGTGCAGTGATCACCATATTTGTATTGAAAAATGTATTTTCATTTTTTTCTTTCCTTCATTCTTTCATTATTCTACATTATAAACTTTTTTATAGAATATAAACTTAACAAATATTTAACAAAATTTGCAAACATATTTTTCATGATAACAAAGATTTACAAGATTTTTTATTCAATATTTTTGATTATAATTTCTAATGAGTAATCATATCTGTTCGCGTGTAATCATCAGTTATTGGACACCCTATACATTAGATAATAAAAAGTTGTTTAATTATTTTAATATTAAAGTGAAATAAATTATTTTTATTAAATGTTTTGTACAATATCAAGTTTTGATCAAATAATTTAAAATTGTTTGTGTGTGTGTGTGTGTGATGTTTAATTCATTATCGATTTCATGATTACTAATGAACCATGTGTAATGAAATGCATACATATATATATATAGAAGAGTTATATACTCACAATACATGTATATGGTTATCCATACAAATACATATATTCATACGTATATAAAATGTGTATATATAGAAGAATATATATGTATATCTACAATACATGTATGTTGTTATCCATACAAATGCATACATGCATACAGGTACATATACATACATATATATGTATGTAGAACTATATGTGTGTACATAGAGCAGACGTGCATTATGTTCTTTCGTGAAAACGTCGCACGTGTGAGTTTGTTGAGAGAAACGTCACTCGACACGCGGTACGTGAAGAGCTACCGTGCATTAATCGTTTATAGAGCGTGCAGTGATCCCAGAGACTTTCGTTCGTTCGATGGACACAGGGGCGCAAAATTATCGTACGCGGCACAAAATTATCGTACGCCCCGGGAAAATTTGAAATCGGACAAAAATCCAACAATTTCTCGGACAAAATTTTCAAAATGTGGAAAAAGTTTCCAAGTTCCAACTTTTTAAAAGTTGATGACCTTTTTTTTTTT